AAAACAGCCTGAGATAACACAATACCCTAGAAAGACAATTTGTGCATAAGCCATAATGTGTTGCAGTCTTGGTGTTCAGTCCCTGACCAGTTAGTTAATTTACTTGGATAAAATTAGATCAAAGTGTTTGCTTATAGTTCTACTGTGATTAAAAACAGGTAACAAATTTTTATGCTGAAACCAAGCAGTTCCAAGTGGGGCACATAGCAATAAGCTACTGTTGTAGTGTGGGTGAATGTTATTAAATCTATCAGACCTAAGAAATACATCCCCAAGATACATTTTCATAATGGTGATTCTTACTTCTAAGTTAGCCTTTATATTTTACTATTTGAAATGAAGTAGAGATAGTCTTAACTATTTTCGGTTTTGTTTTTAGGTACAACCCAAGCACCTTGGGTGTGTTGGATTGAGCTGCTTTTATTTGGCTGTAAAATCAATAGAAGAGGAAAGAAACATCCCATTGGCAACTGACTTGATCCGAATAAGTCAGTATAGGTTCACTGTTTCAGATTTGATGAGAATGGAAAAGATAGTACTGGAGAAAGTGTGTTGGAAGATCAAAGCTACCACTGCCTTTCAATTTCTACAACTCTATTATTCACTCATTCAAGAGAACTTGCCATTTGAAAGGTATGTAACCTTTGTTTGGAACACAATGTGTTTGAAAATTAGAATGATACTATTCGGGTATTTCCTAAAATTGATACTCTCTTTAAATTCTATCAAAACTCATGTCCAGTGCCTTCAAGAAGTTACTATCACTGATGGAAGGGAACTTACTTCAAATAATTTTCTTTCTATAGAAAATGTGCATGAGCTTTATTTTAAAAACTAGCTTCAGTATTTTTCTTAAAATGTCTCCCAAGTAGATGTAATCTACATAAAATGAATCTCATTTATTTTTAAAGGAAAAACAGCCTCAATTTTGAAAGACTGGAAGCTCAGCTTAAGGCATGTCACTGCAGGATCATATTTTCTAAAGCAAAGGTAAGAATTTTATAGAGATTTAAGCTTTTATAGGATCTATTTTTATATTTGACATTTACTTTG